CTTCCAGGTGAGTGGTGAGAGGGTGGGGGCCGGGAGCTCCCGACGTGGCCGCGTCCTCCCAGATTCCTCTGTCTGGGTATTGACGAGACACCTAGCTCCTGCCGGGGGGTGGGGGGGGGGATTGGGTGAGGCTGCTGTAGTCCTGGCAACCCTGCCCCCCTCCCCCCAGGCAAAAGCCAGTGGCCTGCTCAGAGGGACGGCTTCCAGGAGGCCTAAGCTGGGTCTCTCCTTGTTGAACTCAGTCTCGGTTTAACGAAATTGTGCGAAGCGGCGCTTGGCTTGGTTTCTGGGTGGGTAAGGAGGATGTGGTAATTGCTGCGCGTCTGTTTACTCGGCAGAGCCCAGATGGGGGCTGGCAGGGTACGGGGTGCCTGACCATACAGGAGCCTGTAGATCTGTGTGTCTGTGGCTTTACCTGTCTTTCCTCTCCCTGAAATGTCCCCAGGGACGTGTTCACCCGTGGGAATCATCCCCGGCTGATTCTACCCCCTCCCAGAGCATTCCCAAGCCCTGAGGTAGGATCCCCAGGAAGAGGGCCTGGGGTCCTGCGTCCTTTCTTGCTGTGACCTCTGCCTCCCCTCTGGGCCAGCGTGAGCCTTGGAGGGACGCCTGACTGCGTGTCTCCCTCCATCAAACTTCGAGTCTGGACGCGTCTTGTCCATGTTGGTAAAGCCCCGTGAATGCCAGTGGGGTCCCTGCCCTTATGCCCCCCCCCAGCCCTGCACACTCCCATGACTGTGGCTTCATCCCTGTACTCATGCCCGCTTGCTGACCCGTCCCTGGGGCTGAGGTCAGTGGGTCTTCCCAGGGAATGACCCTCACTCCAACCCCGTGTGTAGTTTTAGCTTAAATCCCACTTGGTTTGAAGAAGTGGCTGTTAGTGATGTAGATCTGAGCATTTTTTTTTTTTAAGATTTTATTTATTTGACAGAGACACAGCGAGAGAGGGAACACAAGTAGGGGGAGTGGGGGAGGGAGAAGCAGGCTTCCCGCGGAGCAGGGAGCCCGATGCGGGGCTCGATCCCAGGACCCCGGGATCATGACCTGCGCCAAAAGGCAGATGCTTAATGACTGAGCCACCCAGGTGCCCCAGATCTGAGCATTCTGACATCAAAAGATGTCCCCAGTTGGGGTGCCTGGCTAGCTCAGTGGGTAGAGCATGTGACTCTTGATTTCGTGATTGTGAGTTTGAGCCCCATATTGGGCGTAGAGATTACTTAAATAAATCTTAAAAAAAAAAAAAATCCACAGTACAGGCAAGTGGAGAAATATGTGGCCAAACCGTGTCTATGAAACTCCTCTTCCAGAATTAGCCCCCCAGGGCGGGTGTGAGTTTTTAAAGGCTAAGTTGGAGGAGGGTAGGTTATGGGAGTTAATGCTCAATACATTTCTGAGGTATTAAATTGTCTATACCATGAGTGTTAATGTAAAATCAGAGAAGTGCTCCTTTCTAGAAGCCAACTCTTGGATGATCTCGATCTTAATTTAAAATAGTTCTCAGTTCTTGAAAGATGCTAACACTCAAAGCTTGGCTAGATCTAGAAAAAGTATTTTAAAAATGGCCTGTAATGCTCCAACCAGAGAAAGTGACTCAGTGCCATGAACAAGACTTAGGAGTCCCTAGTTTCTCTTCAGTCAAAAAGAAGGAAAGGTCAAGAGCCGCTTGGGAGCCTGGAAGACCGTGAGCATGGCCAGGGTCCCTTGGTGGGGCCTCTGCCACCTGACTCTCCCAGGGTAGAGTCTCCTAGTGTGCGGGGAGCTGCAGAGCTGCCTGAGCCGGGAGTGTGTGTAAATAAAGCCCCGAAGTTGATGCTCTTTGCCCAAATAACCAGTTTGGCTTTCTTCGGATCTCAGACTCTGGGAACTGATGACGAAAGGTTCCGACTTTGATACTGTACCTAACTCAAAGCCTCCAGCTTGGCTCTTGATGCCACTGGTGAAGGGTGGCGGGGTAGTGGTTCTCCTGGATGCCACAAACAGCAGTGTGAGGGAAGGAAGCACGCTCTGAGCTGCGACTAGAGAAACCCGTGAAAGCCAGAAGAATTCGTTCTGCAGACTGTCCCCAGAGGAGTGGTTTGGCTACATCTGTGACTTTCAAACTGTTCCTTCAAGATGCCCCACAGGGGAGGTGGCTGGGGAGAGGAGGACACTGTTCCCTCTGAAGTTGAGCTTTTTCTGCTTGTGCCATACCGGCCTTCCCCTTGATATTTGAAGGAAGGTAGCGCTCATCTGAACCTCTGGACCTACTTCCAAGGTTCCTTAATGGCCATTCGTTCTGGGCTGTGGCCGAAAGATGAATGGTTCTCATGGAATAGTCCTGGAACCAGGCACGGTCTTGGGTCTCGCCAGAAACCAAAGCATTTCATCCCCTTGTACCAAACTGGCCTCATTCTGAGGCACATTCAGAGGGCCTCATGGACCGAGCCGGTCAGGCCGCGAACAGTGAGTGAGACAGCAGTGAAGTGGCAATGCGTTAGCGGAGTATTTCGGAAGTGGCCTCCCTTGCCAGAGACCTGTGCTTTCCTATTTCCAGCATCTCCATGTGTTAAGTGCCACCCATGGGGGTGACTTGTTTTCCTCATCAGAACTACTTACAGACTGTTGGCTGCAGAGCTTAGTGATCCAAAGCACGGACGCAGGAGTCCGATCTAGGCTGAAGTCCTGGTGCTGATGCCTGACAGCTGTGGGCACTCTGGGCTTCCGAGGGAAGTGACCTCTGAGATGGTTTCCCCATCTGTAAAATGGGGCTATCTCTACCTTATTATTTTTCTAAAAAAAAAAAAAGATTCTATTTATTTTGGAGAGCGCACACCTGAGAGAGTGTGTGCAAGTTGGGGGGAGGGAGAGAATCCTAAGCAGACTCCCCACTGAGCACGAAGCCCAAAGTGGGGTTTGATATCATGACCTGAGCTGAAATCCAGAGTCAGATGCTTCACCGACTCAACCACCCAGGCGCCCCATCTCTACCTTACTATTAACGTTGCTTCATTTAATCCCAAGTGTGCAACATTCCTGGCATGTGATAAATGTGTTTTGCCCATTGCTCCCTGAACCGGGCCCTTAATACTACTCTACTCCAGATTTAGAAGATGCCATGAGCCTTATCTCTTGGAGATGTAGGGTATAGCTCCTTGCTCCAAACTAAATCTCCATTTCTAGCTGATAACTCTCTTGACCCTGGTTATTATAGCAACTAGAAAACTCTTGAGCCGGTGTTTTAAAGGATGTCCTGGGGACAGCTGGCTGGCTTACTCAGTAGAGCATGTGACCCTTGATCTCAGGGTTGTGAGTTCAAGCCTGATGTTGGGTGCGGTGTGGAGCCTGCTTAAAATTAAAAAAAAAAAAAAAAAAACCGTAAAGGGGTGTTCTGATTTACCTTTTGGTCCCCCAAAGCAACTCTTCTTCCTTATAGAGCAGATTTTGATGTTACCTAAAGGTAGATGAAAGTATAGGACATGGTTACTCTCTGTCCTGAGCTGCTTGTGCCTCTGCTCTGAGGCTCAGCCCATTGGCTCTGTCCAGCTGTGGGTGGCTGGTGGCACTTTGTTTAGGGACTTGTGCCCAGCCCGGTAGCTGCTGCTACCACCAGTGCCTTGGACACTATCCTTCTTTTGTTCGGACTCAAATTCCCTTCTTTTTCCTGGTCCCTTGCTGGTTCTTCGTTCTTTTGGGCCCTAGTAGGGAACGTCACCAAGACCGCGTTCTTGTTCGGTCATCTCACAGAGTTCATCTCTCTTCTTAAGACCTCAGTCTTGGCTCTCTGCTTCTGGAATTCTCCTCCTTGTCTACACTGTCCCATCCAAACTGATGTGTCTAAATTAGTCTTTCCTCCCGAAATTAATCCCAGCTGTTCTACATTCAAGACTAGAGTCAATAGACTCTGGTCATCTTTATCCAGTTTTCTTTTCTCTGCAATGTAGTTTGGCTCCTCCCCTGTACTTGGAAACAGATGGATACTCATTGCACCCTTGTAAGAAATGTCATTCCCCGCTGCCTTGTAGAAAGTTAAAATGTGGCCTGATTTGAATAACCTCCTCTAATTAGGGACCAGCTCCCTTTGTGACCTATTACCTACCACCCTCATCCAACAAACACTTGAGTACCTACTTACTCTATGTCATGCATTGTGAAAGGGCTGAGGAATTGTACCTAAGACACACATGACCCCATTGTCATTGGGGCGAGGGGAAGGAAGTTGCACGAACAAGAAGATTTTAGGTGGTGGTAAAAGCTCTGGGGAATATAAAAACCGACTGGGCTGATACTTCGATTCTTAAATGGAAATTCAAAGTGTTGCTGTTGGTGAAGCAGGCTGGGGCCAGCTCACACAGGGTGGGCATCATGGAGAGTCTGAGTTTTCTTCTGAACTCAGCAGGCAGCCACTAGAGAGTTTTGAAGCAGAGAAAATTATCTTTAAGAGATCACGTGGCCTCTGTGTGGAGAACAGATTGGAATACAGCAATGGTAGAAGCCGGGAGAACAGGTGGAAGGCAGTTGCCGTAGAGTAGCTGGAAGATGATGGTGGCCTGGTCCGGGGTTGAGGCAATCAATCAAAGAATTAGAAGGAATGTGTCAGGCTTGAGACCACTGTGACCCGAGGGCTGGTGGACTGGGTGTGGGAGAAGAGGCCATCTTCCTGTCCTGGTTGGGCACCACCATCCTGCGCATACGCACTGTACAGAACTCCTAGGACACAGCCACATGAGAGGGTTCTGGGCTTTCCTTCCAACCTACCCTAGCCATCAAAGGCCCAGTTCAAGCCACACTGACTCCAAGAGGTATCCCTCCCTCCTGCAGCCCAGGGCTGGCCTCTGGCTCCCATGGTGCTCGCTGCCTGTTGAGCCAGTGTGGTAATGCCTATGGAAGCTGCTCTCCCATCCACTATGAGCCCTTCCAGGGCTTAGAGCAAGGATGGCGGTGACGTAAGAACCCACACGCTGGGCACTGACACTCTCTTGACAACTGTCTTACTGGCAGGTGGTTTACTGCTTCCAGTCAATATGCCAACTTTAGATGCTCCTGAAGAGAGGCTGAGAAAATTTAAGTACCGAGGCAAAGATGCGTCTGTGAGTACCCAGCCACCACTTCACTCTATGGAGGAGCAGTGTAGTGAAAATCTCATGGTTGAAATGCATCAAAAATGGGGTGGAGCAGGGGTGGCTAGGTGGTGCAATTGGTTTAACATCCAACTCTTGATTTCGGCTCAGGACGTGACCTCAGGATGGTGAGATTGAGCCCTGGTGGCTCCACACTGGGGGTGGGACCTGCTTAAAATTCTCTCCCTACCCTTCTGCCCTTCCCCTGCTCATGTGCATGCACGCTCACGCACATGAGCGCTCCTTGTGTAAAAAAAAAAAAAATAGAGTGGAAGATCAGGGTATGGGGATGACAAAGCAAATATAGCAAAATAGAGATCTAATCTAAAGAATAGATCATTTCCCCCAGGATTCTCGATGCTACTAAAGTCTATGAGTTTCTTCTGATCCCAGAAAAAAAAAAGGGTATATTTTGTTGTGTTTTTAATTTTAATCTCCCTCAGTCTGGCATCCAAGTAAGACTCCTGGGACTGGATCAAGGCTTGAATGGCCTGTAGACTGATCCCTAACAGTGGAAATGGTCAGGGTCATGTGAAGCTTGTCTTCATGGACTTCATAGTCCCCAGACCTGCCTGGATCCCCAAAGTTGGGAGGCCCAGGCCTGCTGTTCAGGGACCAATCAGCACTGAGGAAGATGGGCTGAGACTCGGGGCAATGGGATGCTTTGCTCAGATGGCTCTGCAGCTGAGAGACTCCTGGCCTGCCAAGACTGTAGATAGGCTTCCTTCACTTTGGGAAGAAGGGTGACTTTTTTTGTGGATGTGGTATAGTAGGAGAAAGCAGAAGAAGTAAACCATGCTGAGACTATTTACTGTGTGATCTTAACTCTTCCAGCCTGTTGCATCTGTAAGAGTGAAATCTGACGCTTTGATGAGAGTTCTAAAAGCTACATGTGGTGAAAACCTGACTTCCCTGCTCTAAAGGGCTCCAATTCTTTCTTTTCCTCACTAGATGAGGCGGCAACAGCGGATGGCAGTCAGCCTGGAGCTCCGGAAGGCCAAGAAAGAGGAGCAGGCCTTAAAGAGAAGAAATATCACCAATTTCTCCCCTGACCCAGCTTCTGGACAACTAACCAAAGGGGTACATTGGCAATGTGGCGTGCAGGACAGTTGTGTGTGTGAGAAACACGTCCTTAGCAGGTTTCTCTGGCTCGAAAATGTTTAATAGATTCAGAACTTGCAAGTTCTAATTGAGAGTCTTTGAGGAAAGGGGTGGAAAGTTCATGGTTAGAGCTGAGCTGGTGGTTTCGGAAAGCTAAAGGGCATTCGGTTTGTGGCTGTGAGTTTGGGATCTGCGTCCTGCGCAGGGTGGGGTACGCAAGGTGCTGCTTCTAATGGAAATTCACTTGCCACCGCTTGGCAGAAACAGGAAATGAGGGGTTACGCATGTTCTCTCTCCGTTAGAAGCATCCAGTCACTCATCATACAAAGTCTTGCCTGGGACCTGAATGCTGTCCTTTATCTTCCATTCCCCATCCACCCCAACTTCCCTCAGTGCAAGCGCTGGGCTGATTTGCAGGCCAGCACTGTTTTTGCAAATCCTTTCTGGAATGACCTGATGAGGGAGTTTCTCTTCTTTGACTCCAACAGACTTGTATCTACGTGCCTTTTATGATCTGTCACCATCTGTGTCCCTCCTTAGCCATCCACATGCCTCATTGCACCCTGCGGGGATTAGGACTCTTATGGGGCAGAGGTGAGTTCAATCTGGGCAAGTGGACCCGATGACCCAGTGGTGGTCCTCAAACAGAATGGCTGTACACATTTCTCTAAGTTGCCTTATGTGGTTTATTTTGTTTTCTCAGTATGTTTTCAAGGTTTGTCCGGGTTATAACATGTGTTGGTACTTCATTCCTTTTATAGCTGATTAATACTTCATTGTATGGGGGCACCCGGGTGGCTCAGTCGGTTAAGCGACTGCCTGCGGCTCAGGTCATGATCCTGGAGTCCCAAGATCGAGTCCCGCATCGGGCTCCCTGCTCAGTGAGGAGCCTGCTTCTCCCTCTGACCCTCCCCCCTCTCGTGCTCTCTCTCTCTCTCATTCTCTCTCTCAAATAAATAAAATCTTAAAAAAATACTTCATTGTATGGATATACCACATTTTGTTTATCCATTCATTAGTTGGTGGACTTGTGTTTCCACTTTTTGGCTATTATGAATAATGCTGCTTTGTGTCCAAGTATTTGTGTGGACATGTTTTCAATTCTCTTGAGCATACCTAGAAGTAGAATTGCTGGGTCCTATGATTAGTCCATTTAACTCTTTGAGGAACTGCTTGTGGTAAACTGAATAGTGCCCCTCCCCCCCAAATATCTCTATCTCGCAACCCCCAGAGCCTGTAAATGTTACCTTGTATGACAAAGGGGACTTTGTAGGTGTGATTAAGTTAAGGATCTTGAGATGGGGAGATTATTCTGGATTAGCTGGATGGGCCCGGTGCAATCACATCGGTCCTTATAATAAGGATGAAGGACAAGTTAGAGCAGAAGGTGATAGGACCACAGAAGCAGAGATTAGCATGCTGTGCTTTGAAGATGGAGGGAGGGGATCATAAGCCAAGGAAGGCAGGGGGCCCCACTAGAAGCTGAACAAGGGAAGGAGACAGATTCTTCCCTCAGAGCCTCCAGGAGGAGCCAGCCCTGCCTTTAGTCCAGTGAAGCTGATGATGAATTTCTGACCTGCAGAACTGTGAGAGAATGTGTTGTCTGAAGCCACTAAATTTGTGGTGATTTTTACAGTAAAAATAGGAAGCAAATAGGTAGCCAAACTATTTCCCAAAGTAGCTGTACCATTGTACATTCTGACATTCTTGCCACACTTGTCTGTTTTCGGATTGTAGCTAGTGGGTACAAAGGGCCATATTGTTACAATTTCGACATGTTTTCCTAACGACTGATGATGATCATTCTTTGATGCGCGTATTGGCTATTTGTAGATCTTTTTGGAGAAATGTCTATTCAAACCCTTTGCTCATTTTTAAACTTGAGTAATTTGTCCTTCTGTCATTGAGTTGTAAGAGTTCTTTATTCTGTCTATTCTGGAGACTAGACCCTTACCAGATATGATTTGCAGATATTTCTTCTTATTCTGTGGATTGTCTTCTTACTTTCTTGGTAGAATCCTTGGAGCACAGAAGTTTTAAATTTTGAAACTGCTCAATTTGTCTACTTTTGTCTTTGGTTGCTTGTGATTTAGATATCATATTTAAGAACCCATTGACTGCTCCAAGGTCACAAAGATTTATGTCTGTTTCCTTCTAAGAGTTTTATGGTTTTAGCTCTTTTGTCTAGACCTCTGATCCATTTTGAGTTAATTTTTGTAAATGGTGTGAGTAGGGGTCCAACTTCATTGTCCTGCATGTGGATACCTTGTTGTCCCAGCATCATAAGGCCATCCTCTCCCCTATCGAATGGCCTTAAAACCCTTGTCTAACATCAATTGAGCGTAAATGTGAGAGTTTATTTGCGGACTCTGGATTCTCTTTCATTGATCAATATGTGTATCGTATTCAGCACAACACAGACTTGATTGCTGTAGCTTTGTGGTAGGTTTTGCAATTGGGAAGTGTCTTCCAACTTAGTTTTTTTTTTTTTTCCCCAAGATTATTTTGGCTATTTGGGATCTCTTGCATTTCCATATAAATTTTAGAACCAACTCGTCAATTTCTTCTATAAAGACAGCTCAGATTTTAATGGAGATTACACTGTATCTATAGATCAATTTATAAGAGTATTGCCATCTTGACAATGTTAAGTCTTCCAATTCATGATCATGGGTATTTTTTAAATTTATTAGATCCCCTCTAATTTTTTTTTATAGTTTCAGCATATAAGTCATGTACTTTTGTTAAATTTATTCCCAAGTATTTTATTCTTTTTTTAATGTTTTATTTATTTATTCATTAGAGTCAGAGAGAGAGAGAGAGAGAGAGAGAGAGAGAGAGCGCGAGGCAGAGGCAGAGAGAGAAGCAGGCTCCCCGCCAAGCAGGGAGCCCGATGCGGGGCTCGATCCCAGGATGCTGGGATCATGACCTGAGCCGAAGGCAGACACTTGACCATCTGAGCCACCTAAGCGCCCCCCAAGTATTTTATTCTTTTTGATGTCATTGAAAATAAAAATATTTTCTTAATTTCAGCTTTGGATTGTTTATTGCTAGTATATAGAAATACAAGTGATTTTCATATGTTAATCCTGAAGCCTAGCTGAACCTCTCTTTGTGTGTGGGGGGGGATTCCTTAGGATCTCCCATATACAAGTTCTTGAATTTTGCAAATAGCAATAATTTTCTTTTTCCAATCTGGATGACTTTTTTTTCTTCTTACCTAATTAGTCTGTCTAGAACTTCCAATACAATGTTGAATAAAAGCAACAAGAGTGGACATCCTTGTCTTGTTCCTGACCTTAGGGGGAAAACTTTCCATCTTTTACCATTAAGTATGGTGCTAGCTGTGTGGGGTTTTATTAGATGGCTTTATCAGGTTGAGGAAGTTGGCTTTTATTTCCAGATTGCTGAATGTTTATTATCATGGGAGTGTGCCTGAATTTTGTTAAATGCTTATCCTACATTTTCTGAGATGATTGTGTGCTTTTCCCCCTATATCCTATTAATATGACCCGCTATACTGATGTTCATATGTTGAACTGCCCTTGCCTTCCTGGATTAAATCCCGGTTGGTCATGATGTATAATCCTGTTCATATGTTGATGCATTTTGTTTCCTAGACTTCTTCCTGAGATTAGCTGTTTTTCCTGAACAATTTCTTTGTGGCTCAAAGAAAAGCTGCTACAAGCCTTTGGTCAGTTTCTAGAGTTTGGAAGGTTGATCTACTTGTGTTGGTTTTCTTGTTTTTATGGAGGAGAGCATTTTTGGAGGTCCTTACTCTGCCATTTTTTCTGGTCATCACTAACATGTTCTTACTGCAGGGGATGAAAAGGTGGTGGGGATCCAAGTGGTGATAGGAATTACCCCTTCCCCAGAGCATGGGGAGGTGTCTCACAGATTCATGAGACCTATAAGACCACCAAGTATTCTTCTCTCCCCTAAGGTAGACCAATGTGCAGATTGGGACATATTGTCCAAGCCAGCCTGTTCTAATCAGATAGATGGCTGGACTAGATGACCTTCATGGTTCCTGTGGGCAGAGACTCTGACCTAAATGTGTCTCTCCTTGCAGGTCAGCCTTACCCTGCAAGAAATAATCAATGGTGTGAATGCCTCAGATCCAGACCTATGTTTCCAGGCCACCCAGGAAGCCAGGTACCGCCAGAGAGACTTCTGCAGTTTATAGGTTCCTAGCTAGAAATGAGCTCCAGTGGCCTATTTGGTTGTGTGGCAGTGGCAAAATGCCCACACAATATAAGAAGAGGCAAGTCCATTCGAAAGCGAGACTAAGTTGTTCCTCTACACCATCCTTGAGGACAACTTAAGATATGCAAGTGTTGTCAGAGATGAATTGCTTAATTTAAATTGGCCTCTATAGGAATCTCAACTCATAGATAATACCTAAAGGGAAAAATGTTGCTTTGTCACTGCACAGTGCTATAGGCTGGATTTTAGGATCTTAAGTAGCTCTGGCCCAGATGTTAGTCTCATCTGATAGCTGGGAATGCCAAGAACATTTATAAAGAAGGTTCTTAATATCAGCCTCACATGACTTATGTGTGTGTGCGTGTGTATGTGTATATCTATAATTTTTTCCCCTCTTTCATTGCAAAGGAAAATGCTGTCCCAGGAATGGAACCCTCCTCTAAAACTGATTGTTAAAGCAGGGCTCATTCCCAGGCTGGTGGAGTTCCTGAAGTTGTCACCTCACCCCTGCTTGCAGTTCGAGGCAGCCTGGGCTCTGACCAACATTGCTTCCGGGACTTCAGAGCAGACTCAAGCTGTTGTGGAAGGTGGGGCCATTCCACCTTTGGTTGAGCTCCTGTCTTCCCCCCACATGACTGTGTGTGAACAGGCAGTGTGGGCTCTTGGTAATATAGCAGGTGAGACTCTCCCCTGGGGTGGGGTGGCGGAGGAAACCAGTGGGTCAGGTGTCTGGCATGCTATGCGAGTTCTTTGGGTAGATAAAGATTCAGTATTCTCAGTATAAATATCTAGAAACGTTGGAAAAAGTATGCCAGGCTTTTCCAAAATCCAGAGTCAATTTCGGAGGCCAACAATTAAAGTGGCGACCAGATGATGCAGTGTGTACCGAAGCTACAGGCTGCCTGGTGACATCTGTCAATACCGGGATCCTACAGCCTCAGGTCTTAATGGCTTCAGGAACAAAAGACAAGTCTTTGACTCGTGCAGGATTTAGGACAGACCCTTGCATCACCCAGGAGCCTGACAGAATTCTACCTCCAGTGAAAGTTGCCAAGGGAACATACCAGAAAAGTGTGTGCTCAGTGTGGGGTAAAGTTCTCGCCTGTAAACGCAGTCCCAAAATGGCCTTGTGAATTTGGGGCTTGATGCTGTATTCCCTGCATGGTCCAGGAAAGCATAAAATGAGGAGTTAATGCTGCAGGGTTGGAAGCTCCAGGATTCCTGGCTGAATATAAATACGATGCTCCTGGGGAGATATGAACTCAATTGGGCCCCTCAGGATTTTGACAAATTAAAATCAGCCAAATATTAGCAGTTTCAAGTTCAGAGAATCAACAACCCATCATGACTGAGTCAGCAGAAACAAACAGTATGATTAGACCTCCAAGGACTTCAGATACTGGGATTAGCAAACACAGAATATAAAATAAGTCTGCTTGTTAAATGCTTGCAGAAAGGATTTAACATGTATAACATGTATAATGAGTGCGGAGACTTTGTCTCTCATTTTGCTTGGTTCAGTAAGGAACAGGCAAAATTGGGTAGTGTAAAGTAACCTATGCCTTGCCTTCATGGTTGAAGAATTATAAACGTGGACTTCTAAGGTCTCAAATTGGTATTCTTGCCTGAGAAGCAGATAGCAGGTGGCTAGCATTGACCCATCTCCCAGGCTAGATTCTGAGTTGCATTTGGAAGTTTCCAGCCCATGCCAGAGTCTCCTGGAAAGACCATTTGGCCTGCAATAGCCAAATTCATCTTCCTGAGAACTGTGTTGTGCAGTGCCACCAGCTTTTAGAGTGTTGAGGGCACTTCCCGGGCCCACTGGCTGGCTCCTTTAGGTGTCCACAGACTGCTTATAATGGTCGCTGCCATGTGGTGTCTGCTTTTCACGTTTGACCCATCTACCCAACTGACATGATGGAGACCCAGGATCTAGTTCATGGCTACCCTATGTACTTGTCCAGCCCAGGAATGTGTTTTGGCTTCTCACCCCTTGCACAGGGTTTTAAAAAATTAGTCACTCAGTCCAGGATTCTCTTTGCTCCCTGTTAGAATCTCACATTCTTTTTTTTTTTTTTAATTTTTAAAGACTTTATTTGAGATAAAGAGAGCGAGCGAGAGAGCATGAGTGGGGTGAAGGGCAGAGGGAGAAGCAGTCTCCCTGCTGATCTGGGAGCCCGATGCGGGGCTCCATCCCTGGACTCTGGGATCATGACCTGAGCTGAAGGCAGACACTTAACTGACTGAGCCACCCAGGTGTCCCCCGAATGTCACATTCTTATCTATTTGTAGGTGATGGCCCAGAATTCAGAGACCTCGTTATCTCGAGCAATGCCATTCCACATCTGCTGGCCCTCGTTTCATCAACCATACCAGTAAGTATTTTTAAAGTAGAAGAACTAGCTAGGTAACAAGTTTCTGAAATTGGGGGAGTACTTTCAAGTCAATGCTAGGTCATACGGTTGCTGCCTTGCCCCTTCGGACAGCAATTATAAGCAAGGCCTAGGACTGAATATCACATTGGGCAGAGATGGATCCTCATTTGGCCCCAAGGACCACTAGTGCTAATTTTTCTTCAGGGGGCATTGGAAGAGGTCCATTAAAGTTTTTCTAAGCCTACAATCCTGCAAAAGTAGATGGGGGCACAGGCAGTTAATGGGTGACGAGTTTTGTTCCTAGGTACCGGGTCTAGGTTCAAAGCTTAAAGTCAAAGTTGATTGATGTAGCAACAACAGGGAAATGTTGGGAAAATGTTCGTTCTAGATTTGCCCCAAACAAAAATGAAGGGAAGGTAGCTTCAAAAAGCCCAGGGAATACCCATCCCTCAAGGTGGGAGAAAACCTGACATGGTGGGACCAGTAAGAGGCTGGCATGATTAAGGAGTTTGCAAGGAGAGAGCAGAGCGAGATGACAAGAAGGATGAAGGACTTAGACATCCACCTGCTGGCAGAGGCAAGCAGGAAGTGAAGTGATCTGATCTTTTGGGAAGACCCTTCTGGCTGCTTGTAAACTGAGAGTGGAGGGAGCTGGGATGCTGCCACGCTGGACACGGGGGAGTGGAAGAAGTAAGAATGCCCTTGGTTTCAGGTTAGGTTGTTTAGATGACTGTCCTCCTAGAGAAATGGGGAAGATAGAAGGAAGAAGGAATCTGAGCGTTAGTTATACATGTTAAGTTGAAGCGAGTAAGAGGCACCATTGCAGCAACATCAGGTGGATGGATAGTGCGGTCCAAATGATTGTGCGTGCATCCGTCATCCAGCTAGGCAGGATCAACTAGAGCAGGGGCCAGCTGCTTGCTTTTGTAAATAAAGTTTTATTGGAGCACAGCCATCACCATTTCTTTATACCCATGCTGTCTGTGGCTTTTGTAATGTTACAAGGGCAGAGAGGACTAGTTGCAACAGAGACCCTATGGCCCATAAAGTTGGACGTGTTTATTCTCTGGCCTTCTGCAGAAAATGTTTGCCAACCCCTGACCTAGAGTAGAGCCTGGGACCAAGTCTCGAGGGCTCTGACGGTCAGAAGTCAGGCAGAGTCTGCCCAAAAGACTGAGAAGAAACAGCCCGTTTGGCAAGAGAAATGCAGGTGTGGTGTCATAGGTGCCAAGAAGAGCTTTTCCAAGGGGGGTACTAAAGACTGCCAAGAGGGGCAGTAACTTTAGGACTGAAAAAGCAGCTGTTGGATTTGGTGGCTTGGAAGAAGCCAATTTCATCACTCAACGCAAAGAAGTAGGGGCAGAAATCAGACTAGAAGGAGTGGAAGAACAAATGGGAAGCTGCAAGGTAGACAGTGAATAGAGATGCATCCTTGAGGGTGGACTCTGGAAAAATAGAGGCAGGATGATGGCTAGAGAGGTGGAGGGTCCCAGAGTGTGGGAGGGATCAGGGGGGAGAGGTGGTCTTGGGAAGAGAATCTTCAAAGGCAAAAATGGGATCCAGATGTGGGGTAGGAGGACTGACCCTCCCACAAAGATCAGGAATGTGGTTACCACATGTCGGTAGGGTGACTGGCTGATGGGCAGACCAAGTAACTCCTGCTTCATGTTTGTTTTGTCAATGAAAAATGAAATTGGTCATCAGCTGAGTCAAGGGGGGGGGGCGGATTTTTGAAGAATACAAGGAAACCTCCACCTAACATTTGGTCTCCCTAGTATGCGTCACTGTCGAGAACAGATTCTGCATGAAGCTCAAATGCTTTGCTTCATGCTGGTTAATAATGTTGATCAGGGATGGCAAAGACCAGGCCATTGGCATTTTTCCTCCTTTGCACCCAATGCTGGAAGCACTCTCCTTGTTACAGATCACATTTATGCGGAACATCACGTGGACCTTGTCCAACTTGTGCCGAAACAAGAACCCTTACCCTTCTGTGAAAGCTGTGAAGCAGATATTGCCTGTCCTGTCCCACCTCCTGCAGCACCAAGACAGCGAGGTTCTCTCGGACACCTGCTGGGCCCTGTCCTACCTCACTGATGGCTCCAACGAGCGCATCAGCCAAGTGGTCAACATGGGGGTCCTGCCCAGGCTGGTCCAGCTCATGACCAGCTCAGAGCTCAATGTCTTGGTAAATGTCCCTGGTCCTGTCTGTCTCTGTCTGGGCCTTCAGGTGAGAATGTGTGAGTCATACTCCCTTGAACAAGACCTCTCCCAACTCTGGTCTTCCACAGTTGGGTCTCATACTTTATCTAGAACAAAGCTTATCATCTACATTTCCCTGGTCTCTGCTACTCTCTAGCTTAAGACTTGAATTTATTTTGATCTGAAGTCCTAGTGGATGTTAAATAACTCACTTGTCTTAATCTGATAACTAGAAAGTCTAGACAAGCACCAAATTAAAATAATCCCTCCACCCAGTAAACTATTCTTTTGTGGCCTCTCCTTCTAGGGGTCTGTGCATGTGGATGTTAACAAGTTGGCTAATACAGTGTGTGTGCCTGTGCACGTGTGTGTGCGCACATGTGTGTACAAACATAAAGCTTGTAACATTTGAATTTCTTACTCAGGTATAAAAAAAAATTCCCTCTTATCCTCTCCCCAGTTTGTTGTTAGACTACTTCAGTATAAGTAAAGTGGGGAAAAAAAAAAACTAACATCAAATACTTTGCTATGATATGAAACTTGTCCCTTACATAATATGCTTCTTGAAGATATGCCTTGAAACGTGGGTGGCCCTTTTGATTTTTGTGGTTAGTGTTGTATATTTATGCAGCCTTAGTGATCATCTATGCCTAGATTAGCATAGTATTCCTCAGACGTCAAGGTTAGTTTGGGGATGGTATTGGGGAGAGGGAGGGTACAAGGAGAATATAAGAAGGTGCTTGTCCTGAGGGGTCTAGGGCCCATTTGGAGTCATCCTGCCAAGGCTGTGATGGGCCTACAGCACTACTTCACCTCTCACTTGAGTAGCAAATAGCCAGCATAAAAGGCTAGGAAAACTCTAGAACTGTTGATGGTCTGTGTGGGGGCAGTCACTACGGTGCAGAGAAACAAAAATAAATGCACAGTAGCCCTCAGAGGATGGTTGTCTTGAGCCCAATTGCAGATCCATCCTGCGGACCTTCAGAGTTGAGAGGGAGTTTGTGAATACAACAACAACCAAAAATGCCGTTGGGATCTCATTAGCTCCAATTAAATATACAACAGAAACTTGACACTGGTGCTAAATACAAATTCGGTAGAAGTTATTACATTATAAACCCTGTAATCAATTTGCCGATTTTCCCAGCGTAAGGATACAAAAAGGGCAGCATTATTTCTTAATAAAGGCATCCCTGGACCTCTCTCTTACGTGAGCCAGAACTATTGAGAGGCTAGCAAGTACCTTTAAACTATGCAAATGGCCATGGATGTGCTGAATTAATAGGGATCATGGATTTAATCGTTATTCACGGGTTTCCGGAGCGCCATCAACATTGTGTGACAAATATGGGGGAATGCGCAGAGCTTGGTGTGATGGTCCCCTTCTGTTACCATAAGTTTGCAATGCTTGGTTACACGTGTAGCCTTGCTCTTCCAGACCCCCTCCCTCCGCACCGTGGGGAACATCGTCACAGGAACGGATCACCAGACCCAGGTGGCCATCGACGCGGGCATGCTGAACGTGCTGCCTCAGCTCCTGATGCACCCCAAGTCCTCCATCCAGAAGGAGGCAGCTTGGGCCTTGAGCAACGTGGCTGCAGGGCCTCACCAGCACATCCAGCGGCTAATAGCTTGCGGCATGCTGCCTCCTTTGGTGGCTTTGCTGAAAAACGTAAGTGGTGCGCTCCGTGTCCGTGATGAGGCTATTTTCCGATTGGCCCTGTGTTGAACTCCTTCAGTAATTCGGAGACAGGCTAAGAAGCAAATTAACTGAGATCACAACAGAGCTGTGAAGCCGTGGTTTCCTAACTTTCCCTGGAAAAAAGAAGAGGCATCCCATTTGGGACAACCCATTAAAGATCTAGGAGACTTAACAGGCATTGTTCAATGAAAAGGTGATCCCCCACAGCTCCAATATTCAGAAAAAATCTTCAGCTGGTAAATACTGGCTTATCTTTAGTGTTAAGAGAACGTGCCATCCCCTCTACTTGCCAAAAGCGGGGGTGGGAGGGTGGTTTTGTTTTAGGAGGAAAAACATATGAGGTTCTGGTGATATACGCTGAAGAAAGTGGCCTTTTCAGTGTAAAAATCACATCAATTAGAGTGGTGATATACACTGAAAATCCAGATATAAAAGTGGAAATACAATGAAGCTTCCTTCTTCCTCCTGATTCCCACTTCCCTTGCCTGGGACAACTACTATCGGTCAGCATTTCTTTTTGTCACCTTTGACTGGATGAGCTCTGTTTAAATCATTTACATGTGACACTGGCTCAGTCCCCTGAGGTCACTTCTGTGTGCTCAGCTTTGTAGCTAGGGAGCTTCTTGTCCATCGTTTTCCTGAGACAGAAAGACCAGAAATGTTGACCTAGGTCACTATAACCTAAAATTCCAAGCATAATGCCTATTTTCCCCATAACCTGACCTAAGGAAATGAGTCTACTTCAAACTTAAAACCTCCCTCTAAGGCCCCACGGAAGTCTGCCTGCCTACTTCTGGGCTTCTCAAAGATGCTGTCTTCTGCTCAAGAACTAGAGGCAGGATGCCGAGGTGTTCTATGTACATTGCACAGACCATCCTGGCTGTCCCTAGCCTACCTAGAAATTGAACTAAGTTAGCATCACCGTACTTAAGTTCCTCAGGATCTATAAAGAATGTAAACGTTCTCTTTCTGCAGGGAGAATTTAAAGTCCAGAAAGAGGCTGTGTGGACCGTGGCTAACTTCACAACTGGAGGCACCATAGACCAGTTGATCCAGCTTGTCCACGCTGGCGTCCTGGAGCCACTGGTGAATCTGCTTACCATCCAAGACACCAAAATTGTTATCATCATCCTTGATGTTATCTCTTTTATCCTCCAGGTGAGCTATTCTAAGCAGGTTGGTTTGTAAAGAGCGGTCTCCAAATTTGAGGCATTTAATTTGGTTCTTAAAACTCACATGTGGATTCGCTTTCCACTCCTTCACCCCTCCTCCTGGTATCCTATGGGTAACAAAAACAAGAGGACTTTCGAAGAAGGTCCCTCTTCATTTTTCAGATGAGTGACCGTGGGCCCAGCATTGTTTCAGATGCTCAGGATACAACAGACCAACGTCTTTGCTCTGATTGAGCTTATGTATTAACGGAGAGGGAAATAGACACAACAGCTGAGAGTTTATCTGCTAAAAGGACCGTCACTGATGGCTCAGAGTGGGGAGAGCATGGTGATCCCTTGTATGTAGTCGTCAGGAGAAACTTGTCTCAGGAAGAACATTTATGCAAAGCCCTGAGAGGAGTGAAGTGAGCGAGTCTTGTGGATATCTGGGGAAGAGCACTCGAGGATGAGTGGGAGCAAATGGACAGAAGGTGGTAGTCAGGCTCAGAGCATCCAGATCACATGAGGTGTGGGAGAACTTCAGCTTACTCTGAGTGAGATGGAGAAACCAGTCAAAGGTTCGAAGCAGGGGAAAGAGTCCATGAACCACATGGCTGGCTCTTTTAGAAGGCTAAAACATAGGATACACTCGAAAGAGCAGCAGTAGGAATAGATCTTCACACTGACTCCAGAGACTTGAATTAGAGATCTAGAAAAGCCTTATTTCTGGAAGAAAGCCAGTGTTCATAAACCATTGGTGTCAGTTCTATATTGCTGCATAATTGATTACTCCCTAGTGGTCTAGAACAAACAGTTATTATGTCACCTAGTTTCTGGGGTTAGGAATCTGGGGGCAGCTTAGCTGGATGGTTCTGGCTCAGGGTTTCTTAGGAGGTTCGAGGTGTCACCTGGGGCTGGTCTCATCTGAAGGCTTGATGGAGGCTGGAGGGTCAGCTTCCACGATGGCTCGCTCACATGCCTGGAAAGTTATTCTCACTACCTGGACCTCTTCATAGGACCATATGTGTGTCTTCACATCATGGCAACTGGCTTCCTCTGGAACAAATGATCTAGGAAAGCAAGATGGGAGCCCCAATGGCTTTTATAATCTAGCCTTGGAAGTCATTTCAACAACATTCAATTGGTTACACAGATCAACCCCACTCAACATGGGAGGAAACTATACAAGGGTGTCGAACACCAGGACGTAGGGATCATCTGAGGCCATCTTGAGGGCTGGCTATATTCATCTGGTTCAGGTCCTTTTATATGCAACTAAGCTGTTTGAAAAATTTCAAAGTAACATGAGGGGACTCCTTTTAAAAGCTCACTTTAAGCATCCTTTTCATGTAACTGTCTTGGAAAGAACTGACCTGAGTCAGGAACAGAACTGAAAGAGCACCCAATTAGACCCTACGATTGAGCAAATCACACAGATGAAGAATAGAGACTTGGCCGCCCATAGACAAGGTTGCATAAAACGACATAACACGTTTGTGAAAGCGCACTTGTGGGCTTTAGAAATTTAACTTCATCTGTTTCATTTGAACTAAACATTTGGGATTTTTTTTCCCCCCTTGGGGGGAGTCTGGGAAAACCACATGTGATAGACCAGAGAGAGGCACTTTAATAGCAGGTTAGGAGGACGAGGCAGGAGAGAGCCTCAGATGGGCGGCAGAGTGTAGCGGAAATTCTCTGAAGTGACTTTGGGGCCGTTTGCTGTGGTGTCGACATCCAGAATCCTTCTCCAGAGCTCTGACTCCAGCATTCTGTCTGAGGCTAACCTAGCCCATTGGTCCTGCCTCGGCTTCTTTACTCAAAGCCAAAAACCTCATTTTGGACTTGCGGATAGGACTAGGGTATGTCAGGGTTTAGACACACAGTGCACCCTCTGATCAGGTAGACAGTGTGGCCTAAATCATGCTTAATTTGAACCACAGGGGGTTTTCTTATTACTGCTCACAAAATAGAGAGCAGAGCCCTTCAGGAGTTGACACCAAAGCCTTTTCCTTATTTCTCTTCACTTCCTCCAAATAGACTGTTTAGCTGATTTACTCCCTCTTCTCCTAATATGCAACACGTATTCCTTCACATCTTTGTCCTTGCCCCTTCTTGGTTTGGGAATGCCATGATGATCCTATGGTTGGCCCTGGCACAGCATTGTTCATCAGGAACATGTGCTACTTTCCAAGCCTTTTATGCACATCTTCTATAATGTAAACCACTGATCATCTACTATATTCTGCTTTCTGTACTACAACAATTATTTACCTGTCTGCCCCGAGAACGTGAGTTACAAAAAGGCCTTTTCTAAATCACATCTTGATCTCTAGTTTTGTAGGCCTTGCCCACGGTATATGTACAAGTGTTTGAGTGAAGGAATAGCCCTAGATGATAAATCCAATGATCCGGATCGGATTAAATCCACTCATGTTACTTGTTTCCAGGGACCTGGTTATTTGCCATGGTGTTACTAAGGGTCCCCTTAGTCTTACCTCTTAAGGCTTTTCCTTAAGAGGTGAGGGCAGGGCCGGAACACCTGCATTTAAATAGCATTACTTGAACATTCTTTCAAACTGTATTTTAAACAATTTCCATTAATTATAAGGGAGATACCTATTAGACAATAACAGCAATGTATTTATGGAGGGCAGCATACTTGGCAAAAATTGTATTTTGTGCAAATGATATAAACCTAAATATATGTACTATAATTATCTAAAAGGGGAGGAAGATCCTGAAATCTTTTTTTTTTTTTAAGAGGAGAGAGATAAGAGGGGGTGGGGAGAGGGAGAGAAAGATTCTCACCCAGCACGGAGCCCAACATGGGGCTCAATCTCACAACCCTGAGATCATGACCTGAGCTGAAATCCAGAGTTGGATGTTTAACTGACTGAGCCACCCAGGTGTCCCTGATCCTGCAGTCTTAATGAGGGAAGAACTGTGGCTGCCAGTCTGGAACAGGAGCCTTTGGTCTGACTCCACCGGGGTGCAGCTCCACCTCCGAAGGGCTTTTGCCCAGAGTCTTGCTTTTCCTTATATGCCCACAGGCAGCGGACAAGCTTTCAGAGAAGGAAAACCTGTGTCTTCTGATAGAGGAAATGGGTGGCATTGATAAAATTGAGGCTTTGCAACTTCATGAGAACCCTCAGGTTGCCCTGACTGCTTTGAACATTATCGAGAACCATTTTTCTGAGGTAAGTGACTTCAGAGTGGAAAGGAGTGCCCACACCTCCTGGCGCGCTGCCTTAGCAGGTGATCACTGGGCAGGTGCCCATGCTCCTCCTGTGAGCTGGGCTTCTCTCTGTGACTTAGCTCTGAGTTTCTCTCCCATCCATGCTGACTGGGCCGCCTTTGAGTGGCAGCTTCCTGGCTCCTGGAGACCATTTTATTCCCAGGAAATCTTGTCCTGCTGCCTCTGGTTTAGAATTTTTTTTTTTTTTTTGTTTTTGTTTTTGTTTTTTTTGCTCCTCACCCCTTGCTGCTTTTGATGGGGTTGGACAGATGGACGGGATATGATGCTGAAGTGATCATTTATTTTTATTTATTTGTTTATTTATTTATTTTACTGAGAAACACAAACAACTAAGGCAGGCTCGGCTTTAAAAAACATTTTGATACTTAACACATTTTGTCTCTTCCCAGAAGATGGGGTTTGGAATAAACTGTAAACAGGGCTTTTAACTTCTCTGCGGGAGCAGGGAATAATGATCAGACAGCACTAGACACTTCTTTAAACCCTGAGATCATGACCTGAGCTGAAATCCAGAGTTGGACGTTTAACTGACTGAGCCACCCAGGTGTCTTTTTTTTTATTTTTTTAATTATAATATGTAACATAAAATGTGTATTATAATGTGTAACATAAAAGTTTACCGTTTTAACCACTTTTGAGTGTACAGTTCAGGGTCCTCAAGTGCCTTCACATTGCCATGTAGCCATCACCAGCATCCTCTCTAGAACTTTCCTATCTTTGCAAAATGCACCTCTGTCCCCATTAAACATTAACTCCCCATCCTTCTTCCCTACACCCCCCCAACCCCTGGCAACCACCATTTAACTTTTCATCTCTGTGAATTTGACTATTCTAAGTGTAGACTCCTACAGTATTTGTTCTTTTATGACTGGTTCGTTTTACTCAGCATAAGGCCCACAAGGTTCATCCGTGTTGCAGCAGGTGCCAGAATTTCCTTTATATTTTAGGTTGAGTAATATTCCGCTGTGTGGCTAGATGACATTTTGTTTATCCGTTCGTCATAGATATTCACTTGGACTGTTCTTTTGACTCTCGTGAATCGTGTTGCTATGAAAATGGAAGTACAAATATCTGAATTCCTGCTTTCAGTTCTTCTGAGTGTATATACAGAAGTAGAATTGTTGGGTCTTAGGGTAGTTCTATTTTTAATTTTTGAGGAACCACCATACTGTTATCCATAGTGAATGCGCCATTTTACATTTTCACCAGCAATGCATGAGGGTTCCCATTTTTCCAACACCCTTGCCAATACTTCTTGTCTGTTTTTTTGATCATAGCCATCCTAATGGGTGTGAAGTGGTATCTCGTTGTGGTTTTGTGTTGCATTTGCATTAGATATTTTTCATAGGAAGAAGGTGAGCTCAAAGTTCTTAAGTGGCCAGGAGGCTAGGGGTTTATAGAGTGAATGACACCACGTGAGGCCTCAAACTTGAATCAGCAAAATCCAGAGCCATACAGTAAATATGACCAGGTTGGTGGTATGTTGCTACCTGACAGTAGCCAATACTGGCTTGGGACCAAGAGGATGCTCTCGAAGCAGAGAGGACCCAGAACAGCAATCGGCATCTTCTGGGTTAAGACTCCTACGAACACCTTGTAATTTAGGAAACCCATCTCTTAAAGGAGGTTTAGATCTCTAGGACTCATCCAAGGGCTCCAGGCTAAAGACTTCTGATTTGGAAGTAACAGCTACATATGCTGTGTCCTTACTCACCATAAGGGCACTGTTCTGTGTATCAAAACTGCACTTAAAAATAAGCCAGACATAAGAACACAAATAGTGTGTGCTTTCACTTACATCAGGGACCTAGAAGAGTCAAACTCAGACACGCAGTAGAATGGTGAGGGCCAGGAGCTGGGGGAGAGAAGGAAATAGGGAGCTAGTGTTTAATAGGTACAGAGCTTCAGTTTGAAATGACAAAGTTCTGCAGATAGTAGTTGCACAGAAATGTGAACATAATGCCTCTGAGCAAATGGTTAAAAATGGAAAATTTTATGGTATGTATGTTTTACCACACACACAAACTGCATTTAAGATCCAGCCTGAGCAATGTTTCCATGCTCCTCTCCTCTGAGAGAGACTTGAGGCCAATTTTAGAGCAAATTGCTAAACCACAGAAGATGTTAAGGAGTCAACTGTGCAGCAATAATATGTTGAGAGCCTACAGGTATAATACTGTCTCTTCTTCCCTGAAGGGAGAAGAAAGTGGCACGGTATTACCAGCCCTGGACCAAGATCATGAATTCTTAAACCGCTTAACAAAACAATACCAAGACCCCACGAGTCCTAAACCAAGGAGCAAACCCTAATGGGTAACTGCTTTAAGAACCTTCTGTGTCTTGGCATGGCACAGGTGTAAAGCTTTTTAAACTAAATGTTAATAAAATTGTCGACACCTTCACCTCCATCTATCAAAAATGCTGTTTTAAACTGCTTATGTCTTAAAGTCATGTGGAAGTCATCTCCTAAGAATGTGTGGTTCAGCGGTTACCTTTAAGGATCTTGAAGACCCTGAGAACAGAGTAGAACGGTCTATAGCTATCTAGACAAATTTTGACTTGTAGACTTGGTTTAACCAGCAATTCTTATATTTCTTTCCCCTTTCCTTTTCATTGTCATGAAATGCCTGTTAATACAGAACATTCTTCAGGGAAAGCCGTGTGGACAATAGTTAAAAGGAGAGTGAGAGTAGGTTGGGAAGGACCTAGGAATATGATACTAGGCAGCGTTGTGATGGATGTGGGATACACTTTAAGGAGGCTTGGACTTGATTTGTATTATCTGAGTGTAGAGGTGGATCAAGTTCTACTGTGGCTCTAAAGCATCACACCAAAATGTCATGCCCAAAGCAGGTCTTTGCTGGTCCTTGACAAGTGAGGAGGAAAGCTGTGTGGGAGTCCATCTAAAATACTGCTGGAAGACCACTCATGTTCTCCCAAACATCTCATTGAGTGGTGAGAACAAATCTGCGATTTAGTGGACATTAGATATTCCAGTAAGCATCCTCATCAACTTCTGGAGTAACCATGCTCGCTGCTCAGAGCTGTGTTGGTGGGATGGGATCCTCAGTGTTTTGCTCTCCTACATGGAAATCCTTTTCAACTCCCTCTTTCGTTCATCAACTCGGGACATCCTAGCTTGGTACATCTCTGACCAAGCAGAATCCCACTTGACAAGGACTTTGCATCTTAGACCCAGGGATTGAGTGCAGAAGAAACAAATAATTGGCAAGTGTTCATTTACTCCAGCAGCAGGACCTTACACCCAGTGGAGTAGACCTTCTCAGTGGTTACCTGCCTTTGCTTCCCCAAGGCTTCCCTTTGGTCCTGTCTGCTCCCCCATACTCCTTTTTTTAAAAAATATTTTATTTATCCATTTACTTATTAGAGAATGCAAGCATGAGTGCAGCAGGAGGAGCAGAGGAAGAGGGACAAGCAGACTCTGCTGAGTGCAGAGCCTGATGTGTAGGGCTCAATCCCATGACCCTGAGATCACAACGCGAATGAAAATCCAAAGCTGGTCACTCAACTGACTGAGCCACCCAGGTGCCCCTGCTCTCCCATACTCTTACAACAGATTTTTTAAGTAGCCAGAATTAGTTTCTGTTGCTTGCAACTGAAGAATCTTAACTGACACACATGGGGTGAAAAACTAAACTGTAACTAGTTATTTAAATCCAAAAGATCTATTAAATCCCATTTTGTCAAGATAGACACTGTATCAAGTTTGAACCTTAAGTTAAAAACACAAGTAACATAACAAATCGTATATATTGCTATATGGTATATATAATAGTTATTATATATTCTATATAAATATTTTTTTAAAATTAAAAAACTAAGAATGGAAAAGAAATCCCACCACTTCAACACAACTATTCTGGATTGATTATTTTTAAGTAATCTCAATGCCCAATGTGGAGTTGGAACTCATGACCCTGAGATCAAGAGTCACATGTCCTACAGACTGAGCCAGCAGGGTGTTCCCATCAACACAGCTGTTTTTATGTTTGTGTTTACTTTCCAGTTTGAGTCCACATATACCTTTTTTTTTCTTTTATCTTTTTCAACATTTTAAAATGCCCCCTTTCCCCCCCATCAGAAGACTGAAGTTGAGCGGAAGGCAGAAGGTAAGGTGGTTTACAAAAATACCTTAAAAAAGGTTTTTAATGAAAAAAGTTTGAAACCCTGTAGAGGTTAGTCATTGCCCAAATGGTCTGACCTTGTTGGCTCAAAATACTATTAGCCTTTTTTCTCCTCTCCCAGTCAACTATTTTTACTAAAATTGCATAACAAAGGAGCATTTGTAGTGTAGAGATACTGATACCAACTTGTCTAGCGAGGTTTTTTTTGTTTTGTTTTGTTTTTAAAGGAGCTATCTGCCTATTGTACATGGCTTAGGTGCAAAGAGGTGTTGCTGGTCACCTTCTGGCTGGGTGCCCATGTGCTTGGAGGCAGTGTGTTGGGATGACTGGCAGAGCAGCAGAAAGGAGTAACTGTCCCTATGTCAGCTTTATGATGTAAAGGCTGAATTGGAACAACTGACTCTCTTGCATTAACCCCAAGTTTGTCATGTACCATGGAAGAAATGCAATTCTCCTGTCTACCCTACAATCCATAATTTACTTCGTGTCTATGTTCCTGAAACATGGAATGACCATGTTTAATGATAATAGCACATGATATTTTAGGCATAGTAGCAAAAATAACCAGATGTGGAGTTGTGGGCTGTGGGTTCTGGTCCTGGCTCTTTTTCTAAACAGTTGAAGCCTGGACAAATCCTATAATTTCTCTGTTCCTTAATGCTTCATCTGTCAGTTCTTCTCATTTCTTTGGGCTTTCAGTTTTTATCTGCAAAATAGGGAGGTTGTGTTTGGTAAATTACTAGTTGTATAATGTTTTCATATATTATGTGCAACTCATAACCTTGAAAAGTTAAGTGTGGCAAAAATGGTCATCAGTCTCCAATGAAAGAAAGTGGAGCTTAGAAGGTTACTCAGTATGTGCTGCATCTTTTATTAAGTGGTAGAGCAGAGACTCAGGTACAAACCCTGATGTATTACCTGCTATATAACAAATTTTGCTAAAACTTAACAGCTTAAAAAAAAAACCCTATTAATGCACACATTTTTTGTGGGTCAAGGATCTGGAGACAGCTTGGCTGGTGGGTCTGGCTCAAAGTCTCATGAGATTACATTCAAGCTTCTGCTAGAACTGCATTTTCATCTGAAGGCTTAACTGGGGGTAGATGTGCTTCAAAATTCACTTATGTGGTAGGTGGTAGGTTTCAGGTTGTCCATGGCTGTTGGCTGGAGACTTCAGTTCTCCATCACATGGGTCTCTCCATAGACCACCTGAATCTCCTGACCACAGGAGAGCTAGCTTCTCCCACAGCAAGTGATCTAAGAGTGTGTACATGGGAAAGAAAGAGTGCTCAAGACAGAAGCCACAGTCCTTTATAATCTAATCTCAGAAGTTAATATACTGTCACGTCCACCATATGCTATTAGTTACACAGACTAACCCTGCTAGAATGTGGGAGGGGCTGCACAAGAATGTGAAGACGAGGAAACAGGGATCATTGGGAGCCACCTTGGAGGCTGACTACCCCACTCTGCCACTCTACCATGTGTTCACATTTTAAAAGACATCATTCAGATGATAGCCTAGGGTCAGTGAAGTCTCAGCAAAGAAAAAGAAGAGTTGAAGAACCAAATGGAAATTTTAGAACTAAAAAATAAAATAATGGAAATTAAAGTTTACTAGATGGGCTCAACATCAGAATGGAGCAGACAGGAAAGAATTAATGAACTAGAAGATAGACCAATAGAAGCAATTAAAGCTCTAGATCCAACTACCAACCTACAGGAAATACAGAAGACAGAGAAAAGTGTTAAACTACACCTCAGAGATGCAATCAGCAAAATCCAGACTCTAAGAAACTCGTCAAGGCTATTCTGTTTCCTCATTGAATAAATTCCAGTGAAAAAATTGCACATGAGATTTAACCAGCCAGAATGTGTGGATTATTAGTTCTATTCTGATTGTAATAAACAAATGTAAAATAAATAAAACATATGACATTTATGAGACAACTAGAAGTTTGAACATTGAATGGAGGTTTGATATCAAAACAGGTAATTTTTTAAGGTTGAATGATCATGTAGAGGTTATGTTTATTAAAAAGTCCTTATCTTTCAGTGGTATGTACTGGATGATTTCAGATGGAATGATGTTTGAAATTTGTTTCAAAGTAATATGGGATAAGGGAAGTGGAAGAGGGAGAGAGATATAGGGTAGAACCTGCAGTGTGATAATGGCTGGTGGATCTGGTGATGGGGCCATGGGGGGTGGGTATTATACCCTTCTGTTTTTTTTCCCCGTGAACATAGGAATTTCCCAATAATTAAAAAAAATTTTAAAACCATTATATCCTTTTCCTCCACAAAGCTGATTATCTGACCCTTCCCTCCCCGGATAGTAAACTGGAAGTTTGTTTCCTCAATTGGGTAAAAAAAAAAAAAGGTCTCTGTAGTAGAATACACTGGGCAAGGTTAAAAGTAGATTCATGCTGAGTGCAGGGGGATTAAGTAAATTGCTTAGGGAATGGTGAGCCCCCACTTACCCCACACCCTACTGGGTAAATGGAATGCTACCAGACAGGTGTATATCTTCCACACAGGAGCCTAGAAGATCTTTCTCTGGGAAATATGACCTTCCCAAGAGGAAAGACCTAAAGACACTGACGTTGTGAGTTCCACAAGGAAACAACCCAACTAGATTACCCCAAGGTACCCACTTCTGATCAGCTTTTTAGTACCTCACTTAAATAAATAGATCAAGAACCACCAGACATTTGAGGAAGCCTTCTGACATAATAGAGACGAAAACAGTGCTGGTAGGGGATTTGAAAGAAAAGCCAAGCAAAGGAAAGAAAATTAAACAAAAAACAATACCAGCATACTCAAGAGATAAGATATCGCTTCCATGAAGCAAAAATAAGATGCTATTTTTAAAAGTCCAAAATCAAAAAGGACTTTTGGAAATTAAAAATGATAGTAGAAGTGAACAATTCAACAGTAGGGTTGGATGATGAAGTTGAGGAAATCTCCCATACAGTAGAGCAAGATGACAAAGATAAAAACATAGAAAAGATGAGGTTATATAAATCTGGAAGTCTAGGAGATCCAAAATCTGAATAGAGGCATTCCAGAAGTAGAGAATGAAACAAAGGATAGAAAATTATCAGAGAAATAAGAGTATTTTCCAAAGCAGAAGTAGGCATTTCTGAATTTAAAGTTTCCAGTGGGTAGCCCAGAAAAATGGATTAAAATTAACCTTTGCCAAA